TAAATCAAGGAAGATGGGATGATACGTAGGCATGCGTGCAACGGGTCACCAAATTTGGATTTGATGAATTGTGATTTGGGGTCACGGTTTGATTCAACGATTTATCATCGTTTAATATTTTTGTCATATTTTTACCGTTTCGTCCTGTTTTCTCTTGATTCTGTCTGGGTTGTACGATTCTGTTAGCTCCGTTAGCCTAAATATAACAACAGCACATCATTTGCAGATACTTTGCATAACTAGCAAAAAATGTATTCTTGCATTCAAAACTACACGCACATATCACGGCTATCAATCGATTATAAAGGCATAGTTACGTTACTAACGGCACCCTTGAGGTTGAAGGAGGGTCGGTGTTGGTCCCTGGTGATGGTCAAGTCTCGTTTGGACCTTCCTCTGTCTTGCTCTGCAAGCCGTCTCGCATGCCAACTTGAGTCCGTGTGTGATGATATTTTTCGATTATTTTCTTGCATCATGGTCTCTCCTTTGCCAGTACCAAAATATGAGAAGAGGATTTCCCCTGTCTCTGGGTGTGGACCAATCAGTTTCAAAGACAATCCATATGCTATCAGAGTATGTCTTTTGTTTGCATTCTGACCACAAGCATTCTGGTTAATGCAGAAATGATTCCTTGTTAAAGGTTTCATTTTTTTTTTACATCTTAACACAGCTGTTTTGTTGCCAGATTAAAGGGGAAAACATATTCTCATATTTTGTTGTAATTTACAACCAGTTTTATTCTGATTGTGATTTCGGAATATGTTATGAAACAAAGTATACGTTCGGATCTCTCACAGAGCATTGCAACCCTTTGTGTTTGAGAATACCCACGGAAGTGGATGTCACAGAACTACCTCTAAGATCTCTTCAAGTGATCTTTGATCCACACAGTCGGGGCAGCACTTTTCCACTTGCCCTGCCACATGAGAGTGAGCTTCATCGCACGACAAACCAATATATTCTGCAATTCTCGGTTCTATAATTTAGTAAAATGAAGTGTAGAATCACATTTAATATTGCGTGCAATGGTGACCAGACAGAGACCATCAACTTGCTACACTCGAAGCTCCGGTTTAATCACAAACAAGAAACGTTCATTATAGATTGTCAAAACAAACGGGAGAGTCGCCCTGCAAAGCCGTGACACGCACCTCCATCGTCCACTCGTCAGCCGAAAGTGCGCGCGGTGTTCGTGCGATCCAGTGCACGTGTACACGCGCGTGCGTGCGAGAGCGACCGCCGCGTCAATTAGTGGTGTAAGGAGTGGAACGAGCCGTACTGGACCCGACTCCGAGGACCCGCGCGAGTCTCTTACTTGCCGCGTTGGCGCCCTTTGGCGTGCGAACAGTGCCGCAGCATCTGATGGCATTTCAAACAAAAGCCGTCACATTTCGTGCGTTGAGTATTGAGCTAATTAGCATTTGCATGAAATTGCTTTCAAAAATTGCTGTTCCTGCTGAGGCAGTAATTAAGAGAAATTAGCCATTTAAAATGTGGAGGGTGGCATTTGGTGGAGGCCAGCGTGGGCGGGGGTTGTTTTGTTGGATGGAGAAAGCAGGTGCGAAACACAGCCCGGTTGTAGATGTCATCCTCGCGGCAACAACCGCAGTCACGGCCACGGCAACTGGACCCACAATGAGAGCCCGAGCTCGCGGCCACGACAACCACCGCCACGGCAACGATCGTTCACAGTAGCCGCGCCGGAAGCTACCATTGCAGCTACGGCCACGGCAGCAGTCGCAGCCACAGCGACAACCAATACCGGCAACCACGTCACAAGCCGCTACCACCGTCGCCACTGTCGCTGCCCCAACCACAAGATCTGCAACCGCAACAGCGACTGCCACTGCCAGTCATAATGTTGCCTCCGAAACGTCGTGATTTTTATTTTATTTTTATTTTACTTTTATTAATTTAATTTTTTTTACCTACGCGACTTTACCGAAATAACCTAAGAATATGAATCCTTGCAGTCACGAAAGCTTCAAATCTAGATTCATAATAGTCATAAACGCAGCAGGCAACACAGCCGTCATAACTAAAACAGCCATAACCACAGACTCCTCCAGCAACAGCCACCGTCAATGTCATTGTCATGGAGCTGAGAGCACCCAGTTTTATAGGAACTCGTGTTCCTGTCCTCCGCTGGGGGTGTATTTGGTGAGGTCTCTACACTGTGCAGGTGTTTTTTGGGTCAGGGTATGTTCGGCGAGAGCATGTTGAGTGTGAGTAAGGGTTGATCTCTTCTTCTGACTTCATCCTGTCACTCATGCTGTGAGCAACGCACAACCTCTGATTTGCCTGTGGGGACAGGAGGATCGCCTACTACGGACAGTAATATATTCCAAGTGGAAATATCCTACAGCTGGTGGTAGCCTCGTACAGACTGGTGTGCAAGAGATGGTAGCCTACAGCAGCAGTGTGTAAGAGATGGCAACCACCTACAGGCAGCAGTGTGCAAGAGATGGCAACCTCCTACAGGCAGCAGTGTGCAAGAGATGGCAACCACCTACAGGCAGCAGTGTGCAAGAGGTGGACGCCTTGAGTAATGTTAGATGTTCACTGGCCTCCATCAGGTGGTATTGTGTCAGAGGCAGCAATATACTTCAGGTCTCACCGTCTACAGGCAGCAATGTGCCATCAAAATAGCAACGTTCTACAAGCATCAATGTCCAACAGCAACGTTCTACAAGCATCAATGTCCAATAGCAACGTTCTACAAGCATCAATGTCCAACAGCAACGTTCTACAAGCATCAATGTCCAACAGCAGTGTTCTACAAGCATCAATGTCCAACAGCGGTGTTCTACAAGCATCAATGTCCAACAGCAACGTTCTACAAGCATCAATTTCCAACAGCAGTGTTCTACAAGCATCAATGTCCAACAGCAGTGTTCTACAAGCATCAATGTCCAACAGCGGTGTTCTACAAGCATCAATGTCCAACAGCGGTGTTCTGCAAGCATCAATGTCCAACAGCGGTGTTCTACAAGCATCAATGTCCAACAGCGGTGTTCTACAAGCATCAATGTCCAACAGCGGTGTTCTACAAGCATCAATGTCCAACAGCGGTGTTCTACAAGCATCAATGTCCAACAGCAATGTTCTGCAAGCATCAATGTCCAACAGCGGTGTTCTACAAGCATCAATGTCCAACAGCGGTGTTCTGCAAGCATCAATGTCCAACAGCAATGTTCTACAAGCATCAATGTCCAACAGCAGTGTTCTGCAAGCATCAATGTCCAACAGCAATGTTCTACAAGCATCAATGTCCAACAGCGGTGTTCTGCAAGCATCAATGTCCAACAGCGGTGTTCTGCAAGCATCAATGTCCAACAGCAATGTCCAACATCAATGTCCAACATCAATGTCCAACAGCAGTGTTCTACAAGCAGAAGTGTCCAACAGCAATGTCCAACATCAATGTCCAACAGCGGTGTTCTACAAGCATCAATGTCCAACAGCAATGTCCAACAGCAATGTCCAACAGCAATGTCCAATATCAATGTCCAACAGCGGTGTCGTGGTCTCGTGCCGACGCGAGCCCCGCTGGCAGGGGCTCCTCACTCACACTCGCGCGTGTTCTCAGGACACCGGGCTGGGAGGGCTGGGAGGTGGGCTGAGGGGGTGGGGTAAACAAAGGTTCCCTGAGGGAGCACACCTGTGCGTTCACGGTGGGTGGGGGGGGGGAGGTTTGCGGTGGCAGGTGAAGGCACCCACTCCTGTATGCTCGCCCAGCATCGAGACAGCCGCCAGATTCATGGCGGTTTGCAGACTGAATGTTACAAAGCCAGGCCACCTCCTTCATCAGCGTGCACTGACCAGTGCGGTGGAGTATGGTCAAACACCCCCAGCTGCTGACATGGCGCGGGGAGACCATGATCCAAAATGTAATTAACAAAGAGCTCCATAATTTTTTATTTAGAGTGTTTTTCATGTTGATTTGTAATGATTGTATTCATCGTAGGCACGTGGGGATTTATTTATTCACGGATTAAATTGCAATACATTACATTTTGTACTTGTATAACATCCGAATGCAACGTCTGAAGATGCTGTACATTGGCGGGGATAAAAATGACAATCTTGTGCATGGACTTCATCAGCGGCAGGGGGTTGATAGCATGGATGGCTGTGGAAGGACTTTTCAGACCTCAGGCACAGCAGAGGAGAATGAGAAACCTCCCACTGAGCGAATGTTAATTGGGGGCTTCGACACAGAAAACCGTCGGTGCTGGAGCAAAGAGTGGGTGGAGGAAAGGAGAGTGAGATTTTAGGAGAGGGGTAGGCAAGGGTGAGTCCACGAACGATCTTATTTTCTTGGTACCTGCATACGATTATGTGTATAAAAAGGTATTTATGACAATTATCTATGCTAATCTACCATTCGTGAAATCGAATGGACAAGACAGTACAAACAAGACCAAAAAAGAATGATTCTTGATTCCAAAGAACACAGGATGAGATGTTACTATCCTTTGTGCAAGCACTTCCAAGAGTTCATGAACAGTGAGCCTGGTGAAATTTGGGGAGCGCATCGTCAGTAGTGACCCTTTGGTTCCTAGGGTGTTTCGGCCTTTCATACTATACACCCTCCCCAAAGGCGGCCAGCGACAGGGTGATCAATCCTACGCTTGCGTCCCATTCCCAATTAGTCATAGGAGTTGCCTTGTTGTTGGTAGCCAACATCCCATGGGACTATGCATGGCAGGGGCGTCCTCCTCCCTGAGTCAAGCATTGTTGACTTTGAATTTAATTGTGCCCCCCAAGCATGGCAATTCATGGCATCGCCAGGAAGTGTAAGTCATTGCATGTTTGGCGGTTAGCGCTATGTGGGAAGTCAACAGTGACTTTCCCTTCCATATCAATGTGTACATTTTATTCACTACTGGCTCAGGGGTGGAGGAGACACAAGGTGAATGCTGCTACATCCTTGTTTTAGTGGGAAACAACTTTGCATTTTTGATTCTTTGCTTGTTCATGTTCGGTTTGACTTCCAGGCAAGGCGACTGGGAGAGGCTCTTATCCTTTGTACGACCGGGAGTGCTGCTCACAGGTGGAAAGATTTGTACGCACCCAGTCTGATACAGCACATCACTCACCCAGCCATATACAGCACGGCACTTACCCTGTTCTATGCAGCATGGCAGCCACGTGTGTGCAGTGTGTCGCACGTATGCTGTTTCTGCGGCGTTTGGGGTGTGTCCGGTGTGCGCGGTGCATTGCGTTTGTGTTTTCTGCGTGGTGCGTCGTGTGCTTTTTGTGCGCATCACGTGTGCTGTGTGTGCTGTCCGGTGTCTGTGTGTCATGTTTGTGCTGTGTGTGTATGATGCGTTACGCGTAATCCGTGTGTGTTGCGTGTCATGTAGATTATGTGCTGTGTGTGTGTGCGCATGGTATCTGTGTTATGTGTTGTGCGCATTCTGTCCGTGCTGCGTTCAGTGGTTTGGCTGTACGATGCGTCACGTGTGCGTGCTGTGGTTTGTACGTGCACTGCGCTCCCGCCTCTAGACTGAGTCGGCCGGACAGCTGTGTGCCGCCCCGGCTCTGGGGGGGCGGCTGCCGCCTCCTCCTCTTCAACCCAGGGCACAGGGCACCGCGTTCTTCCCTGCCACGAGGTCGGACGATGCCCTGCTCCATCGGAGGCCCCCGCCAAACCCACCGGCCCTCGGTAAGTCGAGACACTACCCAGTGGCAGCACAGCGTATGTATATATTGAACTTCTTTTGCACCTCACATAGCCAACCGTGCTAACCTGGGCACAGGCAGGCAGGAGTTCCCTTGATACCCCTTTTTCCACCACACAACTGAACTGTGCCAGGGCCGTGCCGAGCCTGCCCGGCGCAGATCAGGAGGCACCACGTTTTTCCATCGTAGAAGCCGAGCCGTTAAGCTGACGAGACGCGCAATGAACGAGTCCTGATGCGTGTATCGGGTGCGATGACACTTTGATTTGTCTACCGACTGACGTCACACAGCAATGAGCACATCAAATAGCCCCTTGCATGGCCCAGACCCTAATTCAAGATGTATTGTGAGGCCATCATATCGTGGCTTGGTTCTAGCTCTGCTTGGGATACCGCCAGTGGAAATCCACCTGTACCATGAGAGGCCCACTCTGTCTTGACTCAGATGTGCCAGTCGAGTCGTCGTATCTTTTATTTTACGAGGAGACGAAATAAATCCATTGAGAGACATGAAACCAATGCCTCCTTTGCAAGCGTGACCTGCATTACATCAAGACATGTTCTGTACAAAGAATATTTAAGGCCAAATATAGGCTCAAATTTACAATAATTTGATAAAAATTCAAACCAGCCTGAGTAAAGATGGTGAATTACCCATTACAATGTTAAAAGTACAAGAAGGATAATGTAATTTCTAGAACGGAAAGTGACTATGTTAGGTAAGTAGAGGCAATGGGGAAAATTGCGCAGTCATCAAATGTAAACACACTGGCTTAAGGCACCCATTAAAACATTAAAACAAAGAAGTCTAAGCAAAACATTTACAAAAAAAATTGGCAAGTACGTTTTCTTCAAGCTCAGCTTTGCACGGATTGAATTTAGATGCCGTTCAGAGGCCAATTGATTCCAGAAGTCGAGAGCCAACAACTCCGGTCATCTTCTCAGCGGCTTTTGGATAGCCACCGAACAAAGACGGTCACTGCATTGCACACTTTCAGATGTGCTTCTGCGACCGTCCAGCATGCTCTGCCTTCCGATAGGAGGAAGCCACTTGAAAACTCATTTCTTTAGAACACATTTTCGTGTTTAGTTTGTTGTCCTTCACCCGTACCTCCGATTAGCACCATTGGCTACTTACGGTGCAAAAAAAGTTCAACATACGTAGAACTGAAAATAATGCCTGACCAAATCTGTGAACGATGCAGTGAAGGGCGGGAAATGAGTAATTGACCGCTCTAAATGTTCACGTGATAAGCCACTCCGTTGAGCTATCATTTGTAGCCAGATTGCTCCTGAAAAAGAGCTTTACAGCTCACTGGAACTTGACCTGGTTAAAATTAAAAGTTGAGTTTAGAGTGTTCAGAGATTAATGAAATAAAGAGATGGACAAGAAATAGGTCGGTGGACTTTGAGATCGGATAATGAAAAGCAACATAGCAATTTCGATTTAAAGCTTTCGTGACTGCAGGGATTCGTCTTCTTGGTTCTTTCGGTAAAGTCACGTAGATAGGAAATAATAAAATAATAAAAATAAAACATAATAAAATAATTCTCACGACGTTTCGGCCACAACGCAAGCAACCGTCCTCAGGTGAAGAACAGGTCTGTCGGAAAGACAGCGTTCTCACGACGTTTCGGCCACAACGCAAGCAGCCGTCCTCAGGTGAAGAACAGGTCTGTCGGAAAGACCTGTTCTTTACCTGAGGACGGCTGCTTGCGTTGTGGCCGAAACGTCGTGAGAATTATTTTATTATGTTTTATTTTTATTATTTTATTATTTCCCTTCTACGTGACTTTACCGAAAGAACCAAGAAGATCAACGTAGCAATGTGCCACTGACAGAAAGCATATTACCTACTGTGGCATGGATCGCACACATTAACAATGAGGATGAACAGGGCATAGACGTGCCTGCATTGAGAGACGGCAAAGAGGAGGAGCATGGATTAGAGAACGGGCGCAAGTTGGAGAACCTGTGTTTCTTATCATAAACTCGTGATTTTTTTTTTATAAATATAAAAAAGCGTCCATCCTTGAGAGCCGTAAATGACGAAACTATCTCGCTCGTTTGCTTAAGGGAGAACAATGTGGCACGTAAGTTGTAACAGTCGTTTAGAATGGCACCCGAGACGTGGATCCAAAAGTTAAGTCATGCCAAGTTGGCACCTTGGACGTGTCACGTGACCCTCCACTTGGCTGCTATCTGTCTCCCCCCACAGAATTTGTGTTGCCAATGCGGTTACTTTTTTAACCTTTGTACGTCCATATCTCCCTTTGTCCTCCGCCCCCTCCAATATTTATGCAGATTGTGTTATCGGTGTGATGTTGTGAGACAAAATATCCATTTAGAACTCTCGCAGAGCAGTGACCCCCCCACCCCACCCGAGTCCTGTGTCAGAGAATGGCACGAGGAAGCAGATATCACAGAGGTACTTCTAAGATCCAAGGCCGTAATTATAATTTCCCCCCAATATATATTATTAAAAATAAAAATTGCTATGCTATGTAAAAAAAAAACAATTAGCTAAACCTTGGCCACAACATCTGGACTTGTCTTCATATAACAATGCATAGATTTATGTTTATATGATTGTGGTTATGGTTGTACTTTATGAATCCCTAATCTCTGCCATTACATACAATGAAACAAGAAAAGGTAAAAAATTTAAAACAGAGCCATGTAATACAATACACTATTAGACATTATTGTAAAAAATAAATTAAAAAGTCCATCCTATGTGTTAGTGACTTTTTAAATATTTTAGGCAGGAAATTCGTTTTTAAATTTAGATTTTTTTTCTGGAGGGGAACCCCTAGACCCCCTGGAAGATTTGGTCCCCCCCGATGTTGACTCCATGGCTACGGCCTTGCTAAGATCCGTTCCAAGTGGCCTCTGAAAAAGGCATTCAAGGGGAGCAGCAAGCAAAATGTTTGTTGCATGGTGGGTAAACTGAGCTTTTATTCTCAGATGTTGGATTTAGGCAAATTAGGTTCAGAATTAAATCTAATGCAATGCTTCTTTTGTGGAGCCATTGGTGACTTAGCTGCAACGATCAACTGGCTTCACTGGAGGACGTGGTTTAATCACAGTTGGTTGAAACTCAGGTTCTGTCCTAGGATTAGCACATATACAACGTGCACATGTGAAGTTAATGTCCATAAGAAGTCACTTGAAGGGATCTCAGAAGTAGTTATATGAGAATTTTTTTTTACCATTTTATCTGGCAACAAAACTGACACTTTTTTTTACAAGGAGTCATGTTTGCATTGACCACAATACCTGCGGTCGGAATGCAAACAAACATTTAAAAAAAGGTGTCAGTTTTGTTGCCAGATAAAACAATTATCATATTTTGCTACTGGCAAAGGAGGTTCCAATGGTAGTTATTTGATATCTGCTTCGACGGGCCATTATCATGGGTTGATACACTGCTCTGCAAGAATTCCAAATGGACAAATTTTCATCTCATGTTAATACCCCAATAGCACAACTAGAATCAAATGTGGTGAAAGACGAAAATGTTAACAATAAAAATGCCCCCAGCACCTCTTAAAGAGACGTGTTTAATGCTTTAGAATTTACGAAACTATCATTAATACAAACCACTTTTAAATTATACAGGGTCTGAAGTAAACGATCTACATGTCAAGACAAAACTAAAGAATATGCATCCATACCTGTCAACCCCTTATCAGTGCCCTACCTTATTACAGACCAATTCTGACCTTATTGGTCACCCCGTTCTCCTTATAAATCTAAACGGTCATCCTACAAAGTCCCATCACAAGGGAGAAACACAAATACGGGGTAAACCGTATGGGTTGACAGGTATGTGGATCATGGGGAAAAGGGAGACATTTATATATTTACTTTCTTGGAAGTGTATGTCAATCCCTTTGCACCTGACGGGCGTGTAAAATGATGGTGCGTCTTCTGTCGGTGTGTCGTCTTGTTTCCGCAGATGCTCCATGTCAGAAGATTCGCAAAATTCCGCCGGGCCTCCCTTCCTCTGTAAGTCACCGCCCCATTGTGCCGTGATGTTTGTAATGATTGTAATGAACTCGTGAGTGTTGGATGGCTACGGCTATCCGGCCTTAGCCCTCTCAAACGTGTCTACCAGCTTTAACAACATTCAGTGCGCCGTTTGGCGTCATCTGGTCCAACCCATGTGAGACTAGGCTCTAAGGAAAGCTGTCTCGGGTGTGGACCAATCAACTTCAAGGACAGTGCATATTATCAGAGTTATGTTTTTTGTTTGTATTATGACTGCAGGTATTGTGGTCTATGTAAACATGACTCCTTGTAAAAAGGTGTCAGTTTTGTTGCCAGATAGAAGGGTAAAAAAACAATTATAACATTCAGGTAAGTTGAACTGGCGTCAAATTGTGTCGAGATTTGGGTAGTGATGACCCTAATATTAGAGTTGGTTAAGGTTGAGTTAGTTGGCTTGGGTGAGGGTGGGTTATCATTATAGCTGAGTCATGGTTCGGTTTGAGTTTTGCTTTGCGTTGAAATGAGTTGGGGTTATGGTTGTAGCTGGGCTATTGTTTAGTTTGGTTGGGGGTGGATTGTATTGGGATTGAGTTGGGTTAAAGTCACAGTGGGTTTCACTTGTGATCTAATGAGCTCATTCATTTCGTGAGAGCTCTCCTCCTCTGAGTGGAGCTTGGTACGTGAAGCAGCGCCACCTCCTGACCGCTCATCATCACTGCCTTTCATATTCTTAGGTTTTTTCGGTAAAGTCACGTAGGTAAAAAAATAATAAAATAAAAATAAAAATAAAATCCCGACGTTTCGGAGGCAACACACGCTTCCGTCTTCAGGTGGAACAGTCACAACACGATAGCTGTATCAAGTGCTGTGACTGTTCCACCTGAAGACGGAAGCTTTTGTTGCCTCCGAAACGTCGTGATTTTATTATATTTTTACTTTTATTAATTTTAATTTTTTACCTACGTGACTTTACCGGAAAAAACCTAAGAATATGAATCCTTGCAGTCACGAAAGCTTCAAATCTAGAATCACTGCCTTTGGCAGCCCCCGCCCTCCACCAACCCCCTTAATAGCAATAGGTCACAAACGTATCAGCAGCACACCACACACCATCATGCACCATCATATCACGCACCACACCACACACCGATAGATGGAACTGCGGTAGAACCCCTTCAGAGGGTAGTTGACCTGCTCTTCCACACAGATTTCTTAGAAGCGGTGGAGGTTCCTACAATTTGCCCTGCCGCACGCAACCTGCTGATCGATTAACTGTAGTTTATCCGTTTATGCTACTCCGTGGCTAGGGGCTAGGGGATTTGATGAACTTGCATATAGTTTTAACTGTCGTGCTGGGAGATCGAATCAAACTGGCGGCCTGGATTACAGGCCCCGCGTACGAGCCATTGCGCCGTGGCAGCATTCCCCTGGGTAAGAGGCTCAAGCGATAATCACGGGCAAAGCCAAGCTCCCATTTCTCGTTCCCAGCTCGCTCGCTGGCAGCGCCAGTCGCGTTGAGCCTGGTAATGCGGCGGTTGCGTGTGCACTCTCTCCCAAGCCACAGGCACAAGGTGTGACCCTTTGACTGATGCGGGCTGTCATCGTAGGCTGCCGCAGCCCGTGAGCTGCACAGATGGCCGAGTCATTAACCAGATAATTGGTCACATAATTTAATCCCTGGCCGCCATCACAATCAATCAGGTGACGGCGGGAGCCGCTTCTTGAGAAGACGACGACGATGACGATGACGATGATGATGATGTGGTTGTGCGTGGGCGGCATCCACCTTCGTGCTTGCGAGCACCAGAACTGAAATGCAAATAAAAAAAGGGAAAATATTGTGGTCTGGAGACGCACAGGAGGTCGAGTTAGGGGGTGGGGTCAGTGAGATGGCTAGTACTAGTGCCTGGTGAGTTGGTTAGGGGTAGGGCTTGCACAGGTCTCTCTCCCTCTGTGCCGTAGTCGTAGATGAATTACAAAAATATGGCGCACAAAGCAAAACTGCACGAAGAGACAGTTGCCTGCCGTGTAGCACACACAGTACACACACAGTACGCACACAGCACGCACACAGTACGCACACAGTACGCACGCACTACGCACACAGTACACACACAGCACACACACAGCACTCACACAGTACGCACACAGCACGCACACAGCACGCACACAGTATGCACACAGTACGCACACAGTACACACACAGTACACACACAGTACGCACACAGCACGCACACAGCACACACACAGTACACACACAGTACACACACAGCACACACACAGTACACACACAGTACACACACAGCGCGCACACAGCACACACACAGTATGCACACAGCACACACACAGTACGCACACAACACGCACACAGCACGCACACAGTACGCATATAGTACACACACAGCACACACACAGCACACACACAGCACACACACAGTACACACACAGTACACACACAGTGTTGTCCCACGTCCGACTGCATAGCCGCATGTAGAGTGAATTAAAACCGCATATACGCGACATCGCACAAACCGAACTCGCATAAAGCGAGGGAAACCTGTACCGGTGGCTAATTGGTAAGAGTTAAGGTCAGTGGTAAGAGTTAAGGTCAGCGGGAAGAGCCAGTAATTGTGAACATTTGATTTGACTTAAGATCATTGGGAGGGCTGGAAACCCATGGTTATTTGGCGAGTGCGTTCGGGCTACTATTCATAGTTGGATGGACATTTGGTCAGGGCCAATGGGATGGCCGGTACGTGTGTGCTGGTGACCTTGTTGGTTCGTGTTAGGGGATTGATCTCGCATTGCCCCCAAATTATTTGCCACTGAATTAAAACCCACGGGCTTTTTTTTTTTAGCATTTGGCCACTCTGCCTCATGCTCACCCCCCCACCCACCACAACCACTCCCCCCCCCCTCCCCCCCCAAAAAACGTCACGGGATTAGGACCCCCGAATGGAATTGTCCGTGAATGCCGGTGGCGATGCACGTGTCTCGCGCACGTCTGCGAGGAACTTGCTCCATCCCACGTACCTGGTACCTGTTTCCGATTAAAACTCTGCGCGGTGCTTCTCAAGAGTACCGCTGCGTGTGCACAAGGGCCCTTTGTGTTTTTAATTAACTCGTGTTTACGCACCGAGGTCCCGTTGTGTTTTGAATTAACTCTTTGTGTTTGTTAATGTTTTGTGGGCGTGCGTCGATGTGTCCGTTTGTCGATTAAATGCGATTCTGGAGGCTCACGATGCATGAATCGGCGAGTGCGCGTGAGAATTTATTATTTCTGAATAATGAAAATTTCTTCCACGTGGAAATGTAAAATTTCGGCGAGTGGTGGAGATGGACTTGATTCTAGATTTGAAGCTTTCGTGACTGCAAGGATTCATATTCTTAGGTTTTTTTGGTAAAGTCACGTAGGTAAAAAATAAAAATTAATAAAAGTTTCGGAGGCAACACAAGCTTCCGTCTGGAAGCTTGTGTTGCCTCCAAAACGTCGTGATTTTTATTTTATTTTAATTTTACTTTTATTAATTTAAATGTTTTACCTACGTGACTTTACCGAAAAAACCTAAGAATATGAGATGGACTTGGTATATCAAACACGTATATCGGCATTTTTCCAAACGGTGTTATTCCTATACAGTACTGCGGTGTATCCACAGGGCTGCAGGACGAATAGGTTTAATACCCTGCACTTGTACGTTCACGTTGCCCCACTGATTTAGGCTATTGAAGCGAACACCGCTGCACAAACGAGATTTAAATGGAGCAAACTAAAAACCACAGAGCACACGTACATTGTATTCTTGAATTGAATTGCGACACTTAATCAGGAAAAATTATTTTGACACCCCGTTTGGTAGTATTACAACAACAAAATAGGCGCTATCGGCTTTGTACCATTTGACAAAGTGTCTAATCAGAACTCTCGCAATGCAAATTACACTGTGAAAAAATAGACAAAAACTAATCAAATCACAACCCTGAAACATGATGATTCATCACATTACAGAGGAGAGTGAATCATCGCTTGCCTTTGTGATTTGAGCATGTCACGTAAGTACGAGATTGTTTTCATTTCATCCCTTTATATTCTTTGAGACGAGGAATTGGTTTTGGGCACAGGCAATAGCTCCACAGATATCAGTGCTCCCCTTGGCATTCTCCGTTCCTCTTAAGCAGCGAGTGTTCCACCTCTTTGTAGGATTCAATCATTCATCATCATCATCACCCTTACTCAATAAACTGCTTAACAAAGGCATCATCAAGCCTCTGCCATCAATCACGATCCTACTGACGTAAGAGATCGTGGATCGCTTCGGAAGAATCTTGTTTATCTGTCCCATCAATTTTCGTAACATTTTCTACGCCTCTTCATCTCATCCACAGCTAAACGGGGGCATGGCCACCTCGCCGGCTCCCTTGAGCACAACCGGGCTCTGACATTCTGACGATCACCGTCTCTCGTATCTCTCTCTCGTCTGATGCTGTGGTGGCGCCCGCGTGTAATTCAGCGCTCTGGGAGGCAAGGGTGTTGGTCCATTGCGTAGGTCAACGAAGCTTGCGAAAATCGTTGTGCTAAAATGAGTTGCCCAGGACATGGTAGGACTGCAAGTGGGTATAGTGTACCCATCTGTGCGGACTTTTGAGTCGTGTATCCCCGTGTGTCCATGGTGAGATTTCCCCGTTTATACCGCTTTCCTCACACACACACCAGCCATTAATATAATTGGCAACATATAGATAGATTTTTGCGTTTCGATTGTTGTCCTTCCCCCGCACCTAGCACGGTTGGCTACGTATGGTGTGAAAGAAGTTCAACATACATACATACACCCATGCATCCAGATGCAGGACCCTCCACAAAAACAGTATTTGCACTCAGTGCGGCTTCTCTTGATGAATCGCACGGCATCATGATTATTACAAATAAAGGTCCCCCGAAAAGCATACATAGACTGTCGGGGCAAGGTCATCGGGGTTATTGACCAAACTTCACTACGCTGGCTGTTGCCTGGTGG